AGCCTTGTATATCCTTGGAGTCTTTTATTTTCTCCTGTCGGGTAAGTCTTGCTGAGTACAATTGAGTACTCATGGTTTTATTCCCCCCTGTTGCAGGTGACATACGGATGCTAGAGCTGACCCTTGTGTGTGGATTCCTCCTGGTGGGCTCAGAGAGGATTCCTTTACGTTGCGATCATAGTCTTTATTTATAACTCTTACTAAATGTTTTTATAAATGAAAGTTTTATAATATGTTGTCATAGTTTATATATCAATGCTTCATCATGTCATGAATAGATATTTATTCCGCTGTAACTCTGTTCACATGTTTATATTCCGCTGTTAAACTAAATTGTTCATAACTCTGGTGTTGTATTAAAAGTGATGTAAGAAATGGCTAATAATGATGTAAGCTTTGTTCTCACATTTATTATCCTGATGGAAAAATATGGATTTTCAGGTTCACCCTTGGGGTGTGCTCGATGAAACCGTAATTTGATGTCCTCCCTTGGGTATTTAGTGTCTAATGACAGACGAGTACTCCTAGGAGGCATTAGATTAGACGGTTCTACCACATATAGTGTCTCTATGGTTCTAGTGGGACAAGTTGTGCACTTATGGACTATCTGGGTAAACTACTAAACTGCCTGAGGAGTTTGCACATAGGTGTCTAAGTCTCTACCAGCTGGGTTTCGCTCTAATCTGGTGGATCGGCTATGTGTGCTGGCAGACTTTTTGTCAGTGCACAATGGAGGCTTCGACTTGGATTGGGCCAAAACTTCATGTAATACTTATTAGAGGGTGTTCCTAGAGGCCTTTAGAACCCATCTAGGAAGGTACATTGGTGACTAGTCTACCATGTGTGAGGGTTCTTTGGGTGATTCCTAGGGTTAGGGTTGTAAGGGCTAAGCAAGAACTCACCGAGCAAGCAATATCTTACCTTGGTGACCTAGGTTTGTGTATATGTCGGATTGGGCTTCTTCTTGCCTCCTTTTTTCTCACCACTAATGCAATGGAGGGGAGCACTCCTTGCTCCTCTATAACAATGGGGATGAACTTTTCGGGGTGATGTTGCACCTTGGGGCGTCGTTCTTGCCTTCTCCTTGGTCTCCTTCCCCCCGCAAAATAAAAAAAAATCACACATGCAAATCACATTGCATGCGAAATGAAGCGTATAACGTCACCTGCAATATTACTTGGTAATCGAAAAATATCAAGTCCAAAGTTGCAAAATTACAAAGACTTACCATATCTTTTTTTTATGATCAAAGACTTACCATCTCTGAAGATCACACGTGTATCAAACTAATGTAGTTATTAATCTAAAACTTTCATTATTTATCCTATTTTACATGTAAAAAGTAAATAAACATATATTTCACCGATAACCAGGTAGTCCCTCCGTCTCTGAATAAATAGATTTCTAGAGTTGTCTTGAGTCAAACTTTTAAACTTTGACCGATTTTTTTAAAAAAATGTTAAGACTTATGGTATCAAATTAGTATCATTAGATTTATCATAGAATATATTTTCATAAGATGCTCATTTTATAACATAAATATTGTTACTTTTTATATAAAGTTAGTCAAACTCTGGACGAGGGGCCTGTGGAGGATGGACACTGTTCAGTAGATGGCTGAGTTTGTGAAATTATGGGACCTGGTACAGTCGCAACAACTTAATGACCAAGAGGATCAGATTACTTGGAGGTGGACAGCGGATGGCAACTACTCTACCAAGTCTGCATACCTGGCGCAGTTTAGGGGATCTTATACAGCTATTTTGGCGAACTCAATTTGGAAGGCTCATGCTGAAGGAAAACTAAAATTTTCGCGTGGCTACTGGTGCAGGCAAAAAATCTAACAGACGATAAATTGGCACTGAGACATTGGCCTTGCAATCCAATTTGCTCGCTCTATGACCAGGAAGCGGAAACAACGGTTCATCTTTGCATTCACTGCCTCTTTGCAAAGGAAGTTTGGGTGCTTGTTAAAAATTGGGTTGGAGAACATACTGTGGACATTGATGAGGACGTGCAGACTGCAAACTTGATGGGAGAAGACAATGCAGGGGAGATCAGCAACTCAGCAAAAAAACAACGGCAGCCATCTTGATGTACTCGGCCGGGAATATCTGAAAAGAGCTCAATCGAAGAACCTTTGAGGGGACAACATGAACACCGGGCCAGGTGTTGGGGCTGATCAAGGAAGAAGTGGGTATCTTCAGTAGAGCAACTGGGAAACTAGATTTACTTTCATGAATATTGTTTATTTGGTTTCAAGTTTCTGTGTTCGAGTGATCACTTTAATGTAAGTCCTATCTGCTGTAAACTGGATTTCCTTCCTTCTTACTCCCTCCATCCCATTAAAAGTGACGTTTTGGACTCCGTGCCATCTTGTTTGACCGTTCGTCTTAATCAAAATTTTTGTTTAAATAGTATCTATTTTGTTATGACTTATTTTATCATTAGAGATATTTTAATAATAATTTATTTATTTTATGATTTGTAAAAAAAAATTGAATAAAACGAATGGTCAAACACGATACCCAAAAGTCAAAAACGTCACTTTTAATGGGACGGAGGGAGTACATGACATAGCAGTGCTCCTGCTAATTTTTCAAAAAAAATGACTGACACAGAATCTATGAATTGATTTATTTAGGGACAGAGGTAGTAATTTGTGATAGTCAGATCCAAATAAATGGAGGCTCATAGTCATTTTAGAATACCGCAGTAATTAAAGATTCAAACTTATCCGGTGTTGTTGATTTTGTGCAAGCCAGTCGCCAGAGATATTTACAGTGCGTTTGTATACGCAGGGTAATCCGTCGTTGAGGTGGTCTACACGCCGAAGTGTTGGAATTTTTGGACTATGGCAAATGGACACGTCGGAGGTCCGGCGATGGTTGAGCTGTACACACCGGAATATCACTGAGGCTTGTCCACAGACGGTATTTTTCAGTGAAGTTGATCAATTTACACATGCCCGACGATGCCTTTTATAACAATCGTTCCATTCCTTTGCTGGATATATCGAGAAACAGACAGCAGGAAGTAATTCTGTGCTGACTGCTAAACTTCAGCACAAAAATAACGCATAACCAGGAGCGAAGGTGCAGACACTACAAGCAACATCTATTCTAGTTAGTTGTCATCCCAAGGAGACAAAATGGTAACTACCACAAGTGTTACTCTGCAAAGTCGTTCATCACATAACACTTTCACCAGTAAGTTCTGAAACTCCATCTCAAAAAAAAAACAGTAAGTTCTGAAACTGAAAGGCGAATTGAAACCCATCCATTCAGGGAACGCACCAAACCTTACCAACAGAAACAGAAAGCTACTGAGTTTCTGAAACTTTCTGAACAAAAGAAGACAAGCCGATTCTCGAGTCGTTGCATCTGAAGTATTCCGACCTCTGATTCCTTAACAGAGGACTTGTGATGCTGTTGTTAGAAGTTCTGCTCCCGTATCCCTCTATTGTCCTTGTGTATGAACATCTGGGTACACTAACCCCTCAGCACCTATATTCGCAAAGGGAATAAGTAAAATAATAAGTCACTTTTGATAGAGAGGGATAGAGAGTGCAGACAATCAGATACGACCAACACTATTGGCTAAACAAGTGAAACAACTAAATTTTCTGTTTGCCTCAGCGATGGATAAGGTCACAAGAGACATATAAGAGGACATCCTTTGGTGTATGCTTTTCGTGGATGATGTAGTGCTAGTTGATGAAAACCGGACATAAGTGAATCAGAAACTGGAGTTACGGTGGGAGACTTTGGAGTCCAAAGGTTTTAGACTCAGTAGAATTAAAACTGAGTATATGAGATGTGACTTCGGCACTACTACTCGGGAGGAGGAAGATATTAGTTTGGAAGGTCAAGTAGTGACTAGGAAGGATATCTTTCGATATTTAGGATTAATGCTACAGAGAGACGGGGATATTGATGAAGATGTTAGCTATAGAATCAAAGTAGGGTGGATGAAGTGGCGCCAAACATCTGGTGTCCTATGTGATAAAAGGGTACCACAGAAGCTAAAATGCAAGTTTTATAGGACGACGATTAGACCTGCTATGTTGTATGGTGTAGAATGTTGGCCTACGAAAAGACGACATGTTCAACAGATAAGTGTCGCAGAAATACGTATGTTGCATTGGATTTGCAGTCATACAAGAAGGGATCGAGTTCGGAACGATGATATACGTGATAGATTAGGGGTAGCACCAATTGAAGAAAAACTTGTCCAATACCGGTTGAGATAGTTTGGACATGTCTAACGGAGACCTCCAGAGGTACCCGTGCATAGTGGAATCTTAAGCCAGGATAGTAACGTGCAGAGAGGCAGAGGAAGACCGAAGTTGACTTAGGTAGAGGCAATAAAAGGAGACTTAAAAGGATGGAATATATCAAGACTTAGCCTTAGATAGAAGTGTTTGAAAAACAGCTATTCACGTGCCTGAACCTTGATTGCTTCTGCTGGGTTTCAACTCTAGCCTACCCCAACTTGTTTGGGATTTAAAGGCTTTGTTGTTGTTGTTGACTATTGGTAGAACTGAATGTCTGAACTGTGGATCATGTTAAGAAATGAAATCCGACAATTTCTAGAACCCGATCAAATTTAGGATCTGCCCAAGGAATGCTAAATCCCAACAAGGCACTGTCAGTACTAGACCTGAGTTTTCAGCCATTCAAATGCTTCTGCTTAATCTAAAGCATGTGTCAGACTAGTCCAAGCCAAACAAAGTAGACAATTTTCACAAGCACAAGTCTGTGCAACAAAAATAAAAGCCTATGCAAAGGATACTACACATAGCAAATAGTAAAACAAGGCAGAATTACACTGAACATATTAGCTATGTACGCATTGTCCAAGTTACATTTTCTGTTGTCGTCAGTATGGTACTATGATCTACTGAATATACTTCACTGAATCTTTTTGCACATCGAATTCAGAACTACACAAGTACTGTGAGCTACGAGCTATATATGTTGCATTTATTCTCATCGGTGTTAATCCCTTGGATTGAACATCTGCCAACACGAGATCACTAAGAAAATTGCAAAGTCCTCACCTGGTGATCCGGCAGTGAAGACGACGATATCCATGCGCTCCTCGATGCGAGGCAGGTCCGTGACCAGAGGCGTCAGCCGCCCATACAAGCCGGCCTTCACGCACATTATGGTGTTGAAGACGTCCCCTGGGTTCGCACGGTTCCCCACCTGGAACCTCAGGTTGAACACGGAGCGGCCGTAGAAAGGGAATGCGGGCAAACCAGCCGCCCCAAAGTTCCTCGGGTCGTCCGAACGCAGGTACCGGATCATCCTGCGCCGATCGGTCTCGGGCTTAGTGCGCCGCTGGAGCAGGCCACTGCGGCCTCCTGGCTTCTGCTGCAATGGAACGCTTGGTTAGGGAAACCAAACGGCCTGACAAAACCGGTGACTGAATGAAGAAGCAAGTCTGAATGTACATCGTAATGAGCAGGAAATGTTCAGAACGTAGAATACCAAGAACCCCATGCATGCTTCTAGTTCTAAATCACCCGGATGGATTCATCCGATGCATATTAACAAATGGCAGACACCAAACAGAAACTGCTAAAGCAATCTTAATCTAGAACAGACAATGATCTTTGGATGGCGGGTATGAAATAGAAAGGCGAACTGATCAACGTAAGCAAGAACTACTCTCTAAAGCTTACCAAATGCATAGGAACACGAATTCAAGAACCCAGAACTACAGCTCGCGGGCTTCAGAACTAGAACTTTTTTTTGCGAGTATAACTAGAACTATTTTATTGACAGAACTAGTAATCCTGGCGTCCAGGTTTCTGCTGCAATGGAGCACTTGGTTAGGGAAACCAAACGGCCTGACAGAACCGGTGACTGAATGAAGAAGCAAGTCTAAAACTGAATACACATTCTAATGAGCACGAAATGTTCACAAATAAGAAAGTAGATAACTTTCTCCTAAAAAAAAGTAGATAACTAGTCCGAATTATGATCCCGCAATAACTCAGTAATCAGCATCTCACTCAGCCAAGAACCCCATGCTTGAAGTTCTAACACACCCGGATGGTTTGATCTGATGCAGATTAACGAATGGCAGACACCAAACAGAAACTGGTGAAGCAATCTTAATCTAGAGCAGACAATTAATTTTGGATAACTGGCAAGAAATTGGAAGGCCAACATGATCAATGTAAGCCAGAAAGTCTCTCTAAAGCGAACCAATTGCAGAGGCACAGGAATTCAATAACCCAAACTACACCTCTCGGGCTTCAGAACTAGAACAATTTTACTAACAAAAGTAGTAATCCTGGTGGCAACCAAGAATTCTATCACCGTGAACTCAATTATCAGGAAGAATTCAACAGTTAATTAATGGCTTCAGTAACAGTAAGCGCAGACTTCGGCAAGAACAAACGCAGATTCAGGCATTCAGAATCGGCTAAAAACGAAACATCCAGGATTGGTTTTCCTCGCAAGCAAAAGCAACCCGTTCCACGAATCATGCTCCGCCCCAATCCCAGTCAGTGCGCGAGTGCCAAGGAGAAAGAAAGGACATGAATCAAACTCACCCCAGTCGGAAGTGGAAGGGCTGGCAGCGGCCCCTGTCTGGGTGGGACGACCTCGACGCTCCAATGCCTCATCGTGCTCCGCGTGCCGAAGTACTGATCCACGGTGACGCGGGTGTTCCACGGGCGGAACCTGCCGTTGGCGCGGAGGTTGCCGTTGTAGACGTGGCGCATGCGGACGTAGCCGCCGCTGTTGGCTCCCGCGACCGCGACGGGCCTCCACATGACGGCGTCCAGGTCCCGCGCGTCGTAGCCGCGCTGGATGGCGGGGACGCCGCGGTCAGGGCCGGCCGGCTCCTCCTCGCCGGGCGACAGCGCGAGGTACCGGCCGTAGGCGGCGCCGTGGAGGAGGACGTAGTCGATACCGTCGCGCAGGACCCGGTGCACCCGCCACACCGCGTTCATGGTCGGCTCGCGGCCGAGCGGGCGCAGGGAGACCCCCACCCCGTCCTCGTCGGCGTGGAGGTACGACGCGCGGCGCACGCGGCTCCGCAGCCGCACGTGGGTCCCGTCGGGGAATTTGTCCATCGCGGCCGCGGTGGTGGTGGTGGTGGATCGGCGGCGAGGAGCGTGGGCTTGCTTGGTTCCGCGGCGGCGCTGCTTCGAGGGGAAGTGGAAGGGGACGGGGAGGAGAGAGCAGAGCAGGTGTTGGTTGCGCGACGGTTACGTTTGGGCGCCAGGGCGGGGCATTTCGAGGCGACGGCAAGTCGGTTGCGCTGCTCGTGCCGTCTTCAGCTGACAAGTGGGGCCACGCCGTAGCCATATGAGGAGGCTCTGCTTCAGTGACATGTGGGACCACGGATGGTGGGGTCCGAAGCGGCAGGCACGATATTCCCATCCCCTGTGCCATGTGAGCCGATGACGATGACTCCGCTGCAAACTCACCGGATGGAGCAGTTTGTCATTTCTTAATGACCTACGTACATTACTACACCCGCTCTAAATTGTAAGGCATTTTACATTTTGTAGATATATTGGGTTCGTTGGACTGGCTGGCTGGCTTACGGCGGCGCTTTACCGCTGATGACCTATGGCTGCTACCTTGCTACTTGCCTCCTCTCACTTCTGTTGCTTCTACATCCAGCAGCCAACCGAACAGTCCCATTGCTTTTAATATATATTTAGATATAATATTATATAACTAAGTATGTAATAATACTATAAAAATCAAATATCTTATAATTTAAAATGATATCCTAGTAGGCTATAAATTCTCAAATCGAATCTTACCAGCCCATAATTCCTATGCAAATCCAAGTATGCAATAACTAGAGCACAAATGAACAATAATCACTCAAAATCGAATGGAGGTCGGACTAAATCAGACAAAATCAAAACCTAATCTAATCCAGTAAGACAGTAGCAAGCTATTTGATTACCAAAGACCACCCATTTTCAATGGACACAATAAATCAATAAAAAACATCTCCAAAACTCCTTAAAAATCACTTGGTAAATAAAAGAACGGATAGAAAACCACTTGGTAAGTAAAAGAAGACAAAGGGAAGATACCGTTGTACAAATAGCAAACTCGAAGCCCATATATATATATTTGAGTCGATGGTAAGAGATTTACCAAACGCTTTTGTGAGTTGATGGTGAGGTTTATGGAATGCTTTTTTTAGGAGTCTAGAGAGATTTACCTAGTGCTTTTTCTAGTCCTCTAAAGACAAGTGTTTTGGAGGATTATTTTTTTTCCTTTTTGCTAAAAAAGATCAATGGATTTGTTTAAAAAAGAGCCGGATGGCTTACCATGTGCCTCTCCAGCTCTGTCTCTCCTGATGAAAAGGAAAAGGAACATAAAAGACAATGATGGTCCAGCTGGTCGGGGTAAGTTACAAGGAAATCTAAAACACGTCAATAAGCTCGCCACATCAAAACAATCGCAGCCACAAAATGAAGGAAGATGGAGAACCGAGCTAGTGCTCTGGTGGCTAGCGTAGCCAGGTGTGCTCGTGACCGGCGCGAGTTTGATTCCAGTGAATAGATCTATATATTTATGTGCAGAATCCGGATGCACTTGTAGTTCTGTACTCTTTATTGGCTTTTATGTTCGTAACAGTGCACCAAATGTAAGTATGTTTGGCTCCGCTTGATCAATTCAACCAGATTATTTCGTCCCATGTAATACTAAAAGTAGCAAACCAAATAGTCTATCCTTCCTTACATTGTCCTGATCATATGTTTCAGAACGTGGATGCTGTTTGGGGCAAGTGAGATTGCCAGACACCAAGACTAAAAGAATATGCAGAGGAACTAAAAAGAATATGTAGAGGAAGGCAATATGCAGTTGTTGGAGACTGTGGTTCCAAAAAGGTAGGCTGGTTCTTTCTCTCCCTTGCAATTCGTCCAAGAATTCCAGAGTCATATTTCTCACAAAGCACACACAATTATCATCCAGAAGTTAAGATAAAAGGTGCATTTTTTATTGATGTATGTTATCATGAGCATGAAATCATTAGATTATGTACTCTTGACAATGGTTACTTGTATACCATACCATACTAATGGCTTAAATGAGTATTAATCTACTCCCTCCTTCTAAGATTCACAGGCGCCTAAGCAGTTTTCACCGAGACCAAGGCACGTATTAACTCCTGAGTGTCAACGGTTCGGTTTCCACGCCCCGGACGCCTCTACGCAAAAAATATAGCCGTATACGCGCCAACCTCATGCTTGTACGCCCACGTACCAAACTGGAGCAACGGCCGCGCGCCAAACTCGCACGCCCCGCGTAGTTTGTTTGCTGGCCAAAATTTGAAGCCGATTTCAATACCAAAAATCACCGCGCTTTACGTATACAACAGCACGTGCCAAAAGCCAATTTGCACCCGAAATTTCGAAGCTATCTTGGCTCTATATATTCCGTCGTCCTGGCATAGGTTAAGCTCAACTCTCTGGTAGAAAGACCACAACCACCCACCTCTCTCTAATCCATGGCACAACTAGGATTTGATCTCAACCAAGAACCACCGACGGATTGGGACCTCAATGGCAATCCGATCGATTGGGATGCCATCGACGAGTGGGAAGGTCCTGCACATGAGCTCGATTACCACTTAGTGTGGGACGATGTAGAAAATGGTGACTCCTAAATCAACTTGTTTGTGCATACTTATATGATATCCGTACACTGACTTCTCTTTTCCTTTTGCTTTCCTAGTTGAAGATCACACTGATGTAGGTGACGAAGAACAGGGTGCCCAGGAACAGCAGCAGGCACATGGCGCCCAGGAAGAGCAGCAGGCAGTCCAGGAACATGGCGCCCAGGAAGAGCAGCAGGCACACGGCGCCCAGGGTAAGCTAGCTTCGTTTAATTATAGAGCTGTTCTCTAGTGTTGCATGGCACTGTAGTGCTAGTATTGATATTCTATTCTTTCCGCTAGCTTGTGTGTGCTGTTAGCTTGTGTGTGCTGCATGCGCCTATATAATTATACGTGATAACTGGTGTTAAAAACAAACTGACTAAGAATTGTGGTCGTAAAAGAATAGAGATAGACATGGATAGTATAAAAACCATACCATTGCACGAGCACACAACATTCCATGATCTAGCGAATGCTCTCGGTGTATCTAGAAGCACACTTTATAATCGTTTTAAGGAAGGTTATTTCCGTCGACACACAAATGACCTAAAGTTTAGTCTAACTGATGATAACAAGAAAGCCCGAGTTAAGTACTGCTTGTCCATGCTCGGAAACAACATTCCAAATGCTCCCACATTCAATCCAATGTACAACATCGTGTACATCGATGAGAAGTGGTTCTATAGGGCTAGGCGTAACCAAAAGTACTATCTCGCCAATGATGAAGAAAGACCACAAAGGGCGGTTAAAAGCAAAAACTTCATTGAGAAGGTCATGGTACTTGCTGTGGTTGCTCGGCCTAGATTTGATGAGAATGGTGTATGCACATTTGATGGAAAAATTGGCAATTTTCCCTTCGTCTACGTAGAGCCGGCAAAGAGATGGAGCCCAAACCGAGATAGAGGTATGCCATGCATATCTTCTTCAAATTGGCATATCTTTTTTTTATGAAAAAATTGGCATATCCAAAGGAGAAGTGGCCAGCCGAAGAAAGAGGCATGCCAATATTCATCCAACAGGACAATGCGAAGACGCACATTGCTGTAAATGATCCAGCATTTGTGCAAGCTGCCCAAGCAGACGGGTGGGACATACGGCTAACATGCCAGCCGCCAAACTCACCCGATCTTAATGTGTTGGACCTTGGTTTCTTTGCAGCAATTCAGGTGTTGTTTTACAAGGGGACTCCAAACAACATCGAGAAAATTGTAGAAAAGGTTGATAAGGCATTTCGTGAGTACCCTGTGGATAGGTCCAACATGATTTTCCTAATGCAACAGAGTTTCATGATAGAGATCATGAAGCAAAATGGAGGGCAATATTACAACATTCCACACATGAAGAAGAAGCACTTGGAGATGACGGGTGACCTTCCAACTACCTACGAGTGTCCTATGGACATTTACAACCAAGCACTGAACTTTGTTGGTTAAGCTTGTTGCTTCTGTTAGGCATGATTTTTAGATTGTCTTTTGCATGTCATGGTATTAGATTAAAACAGAAGCTAAGCAATGCATGTTTCGAGTACCTTTTCGAATGGATAATTATTTCTAGTATAGATAGACACTCTAGTACTCTTGTCCGGTCACACCGATTGAGTAAAGAAAAGACTAGAATGGATCAAATACTTTAATCATCAACCACATCCACTCTAGACCGAGTCTAGAATATCAGCATCACTCTCGGTCATCCATATATGCGCAGGAAGCAATATGGTGGTGCCGTCCATCTTTAGATCGTCGATGTTAGGGAAGATTACCTTGCAGTCGAACTCCTTGAAGCCGTAGATCCAAGACGTCAGCCTATACTCTTCGTGTATAAGACCACAGCGAGAGCACGGGACCCCGATGCCCCGACGGCGTCGCCACTCCTCACGATCAATGGTGACATGATTGCTTTCGGCTGCAGTGACCTCTTTCTCGTCCCCGGCCACCACATCCTTCTCTGCTTCATCCTTCTCTGCTTCATCCTCGGAGTCTGGCGCAAAGTTGAGGCCACGAATGAACACAGGCGAGGTGGCCGCATTCTTCGCTGGCGAGGGGCTAGGTGTCTCCACCAGAGGCGGGCTAAGCGTTTCTACCAGAGAAGTGCATGGCGGAGAGGGAAGTGTGGCCAACACCGGCACTTCGCCCTCCATGGCCGGTGCCAGTTCTTCCATGGCCGAGAGCTAGAAGTAGTCTGTTGGGGAGAGCCAAGGGAGAGAGGAAGCTAGTGCAGCTGGTGAGAGAGAAAAACAAGCGAGCGGCCGGGTTGTATACATCACGCTTTCCATGCAATGCACTCGAAACAAGCGAGCGGCCGGGAATACGGGAAGACGCAGTAACTGCATGCAGTGCAAACGAGGCATTCAACAGCATGCATGAGCTGTGCGCCTGTAAAACTTGAAAACTTTTCCCAAGCTAGTACGTCTATGAAACTTAGAAGGAGGGAGTAATAGATAGA